AAATTAACGCACTTTGCTGACCTAGTAAAACATTCTGTCTGTAGGCTACTGAATTCGAGCTATATATTGCAATATTTACAATTATTTGGTGACTAAGCTACGTAGAAAATTAGGTTAAAATATTTTGTATGAAGAAAGAAATTTGATTAATTTTCCACGCAAAAACCCACGAATACATTTTTTTTGTGCTTTCCAAATACATCCACTTAAAAAAAATAGTGACTGTTGAAAAAGTTTTTGCTGGGTAGACCTGCTTTCTGTAAACTAACTGTGAACCGTAGATAAAAAGGAGGATTTTTTCCAGAGGATTTATGAAATTTTGATTGGAGAAGAAAAAATACTAACGAAAAATATCTATTTTTTGTTTAACGTAACTATTTGTAGCTGAGGGCTTTAAAGACAGCTTAAAACAAGTCAGAACTGTATTTTTCAAAAATGATCTTTTTTGACATACCTTACCGATAAAATCTTCTACTTTTTATATATCTTTTCTCATTTTATACGACCTGGCATATCATTTTGTTGGTTTGAATGAATAAACAAACATTGATATATAATAACCTTGAAGTACATGTCAAACAAAGACAGAAAATCATATTTTTAAAAATTCAAATACTTTTTTCCCGACTTCTAGGGCCTATTGATAAGAATAAAAATAGTGATAATTTTGAAAAAAAATTTACTGATTCTTAGAAAATTTTACTAGAAAAAGCCTAGAATCTGTAAGTATAGTATTAGTATACACTCAAACTTCTCACTTATAATGTCGTGAAACCTGGAAAAATCTAAAATAATGAAATTAAGCTTTTTTCGGATGTAATAATGTTAACTTTTGATAAAGTGAGAAGAGTTAGAATACTGGGCGTTGGTGGAAAAAAAAATAGTCACCGATGAATTTTGCCAAAAGAAATGTCTATTTTATTATTGCTATGAAAAGTCGTATTTAAGAGCTTTAAAGAGTAAACTGAATCTTAATTTTTTTTGACAAAATATTTTCTTTAATTATTAATAAAATCAGTCCCACGCACATAGCTACCGTTTATAATATTTAAAATAAATATCTGTGTGGTGATTAGTGATTTAAACAATGTTTGTAAAGCCCAGGCCCTGAAGATGATCTCAATAAAGATCGAAACGTTGCACGATAAAGAAAATGTTTTTCAGAAACCTACATCACACCAGACCGCATCTCACGATTTCTGAATAAATATCTGTGTGGTGATTAGTGATTTAAACAATGTTTGTAAAGCCCAGGCCCTAAAGATGATCTCAATAAAGATCGAAACGTTGCACGATAAAGAAAATGTTTTTCAGAAACCTACATCACACCAGACCGCATCTCACGATTTCTGAATAAATATCTATTTTAAAAAAGACAAATTTTCTGTAGTCTATTCTCAACAAAAATAACAAAATTATTTTTTTTAAATTAGTGACGTCAATGGTTTTATCATGGAAGAATTATTATTTCATATTGTATTATTGTTAAATTTTTTCTTAGTATATTTTTAAAAAAATCACAACGAGCTTGTAAAATAGATTTTCCTGTTGATGAAGACAAATATTTGAAAAATGAACTGCAAGGAATTACAAGAACAAAGATAAGGTCAGGAAATTCTTGTAAATCAATTATTTTATGTATGTCTTGTATGATCTAAACCAATTGGTCGTGGTGAAAATGAATACATTTAGAAAATAATTACCCGTGGACATGCGGCCGTTGATCTGGAAATTCAAGATTGTCTTAAAAAATCAGTCACCGGATCAAAACCGAACTGAGCCGGATTCCCCTTTTCGCTATCTTAAGTCGACTGAGGGGAGGGGCCGAAACTAGCCGACCTATTCTCACATGTAGTAAAAATCTAAAAATAACATTGTTTAACAACGTTAAAAATGAGGGAAAAACTCGACTTAATCAACATAACATCTATCGAGGGTTTAATATCAGCTTTTATCATTTCCCTTTACCTCGCTTACTTCGGTCATATGAGTTAACATATTCTACAACTTTGTCAATGGCAGTTGTTTCTTGTTGTGACGTGTGGGTAAAGTCGTGTTCTGGAATTGAAGAGGTACTAACTTAGAACTGGGGAAGCTAATCGTCTCGCAGAATAGAGAAATTCTCTTTCACGAGGTTACAATTGTGTACGTGCTCAATTATCCCTGAGCACACGGAATGGCAACTATAAAATAAATTCAAGGGCGTTTTTCCATATAAACGACAACAATTTGCAGCATTTAATTGGTAGACTTTAGAAATTACTTATAAACGCTTAACTATTTTTCATGATTTTTTTAATAAAACAAAAATCTTGCTCAATATTTAAGTTTTTTGAACATGAAAAGTTATATTCTCAACATCAAACAATTAAAACATAATTTGATGTAAAATTATATAGCCAAAATTATTTATTTCAATACAAAATCCAATGTAAAAATATAATTGTAATTATCAGTGAAAATTTCGAATTATTCATGTTTTTTCCTTAAATTGGTCATCTTACTTTGCTGTTCGAGGGTTCGTAACAATGAATATCAAACAAGACAAAAAGTAATTTCTAATATGTTTTATATCCAAAGTAAACACTAATTTTTACTTTGATTTTTCATTAAATGTTGTTGTTAGCTTTCTTTACAATCATAAAATTAATTTTAACAAATTTATTACTGGAAAAATTTTAAATTTATAACTTGAACTTTCTTTGTGGTGTATTTGGCAACCTATGGCCAATAACTTCAAAATAGCTTTCAAAAATTATAAAACAATTCAAACACTTTTTTCCAAAATTAAAGATCTCACACCAATAACAAATAAATCTGACGTAATCTACAAGATCAACTGTTTAAACTGTCCGGCAACTTACATCGGTCTTAGATCCCAATATCTGGACAAGAGAGTAAAGCAACATATCTATGATTGCAAAAACCTAAGCAAAACCCTACAGCACTCGCTACCCACCATCTTGAACACCAACACAATTTCGACTTCAAAAATCCAAAAGTATTACACACAGAACAAAACAAACATAAATGTAATTTCTTAAAAATGGTTTATATCAACAGAGATAAACACAGCATCAATTACAGAACAGATACATGTAAACTCAGTCGCAGCTACGCCAATATCATTAATCAAATTCAATACAGGTAACATACCTATATCATCACATTACATTCCACACATCAAATATTTTTCGTATAGTCTAATTTCCCCAAAATTTAGGTTTCCTTTTCCTATTTATCCCTTTCTATATAATCCTGAAAGGATAATCTGGCCGAACCATTACCAACACATTTTTTCCCTTCGTCGGTTTTTTTCACCTCAAAGAAGCTGACGGCTTGTACAAAAATGTCTTTTCTATACCGACATCCTTCCCCACCCCTTCAAAATCCAACGTATATACACACAAAATAGCAAAATCTCACTGGCACTCTCGACAAGACACACAAGAATGGCACAATTACACAGAAGACAAACACTTTGAGTGAGTAGAAATACTTTGATTGAATACAAAAAAAAATATATTTTGCATTGTATAAATTCACTTTTCCACATCCAAAATGTAATTGTTATATGTAAACAATGTTTGTACATCCCAGGCCCTGATCTCAATAAAGATCGAAACGTTGACACGATAAAGAAAATGTTTTTCTAAAACTACATCACACCAGACCGCATCTCACGATTTCTAAATTTAAAAAAAAAAAAAAAAAAAAAAAAAACTGGCAATTATTGTATTCTTTAATTTTTATTATCTTTACTTGAATGTATTTCAAATTGTTTTATTTTTGTTTTTCTCTCTTCATTATTTTTATTTTCTTTCATTTATTTTGTCTAAGCTCATTTGATTTAATTTTTAATAATTTTGTTCACTGACGTAACTCATGCCGTTCAAGTACTGCTTTTAGGTGGCAGGCTAGGTTTTTTTATGTTTTATCTTAATGTATTACTGTACTTTTCGCAAATATTTTTTTTAACGAGAGTTCCTAACTGCAGAGGTCATATCAACCTCGGCCGGGGTTTTTGAAAAAAGCCCCATTTGTAAGTATGTCGGGTTCGAATGCAGGGCCTCTAAATTCGAACCCGGGACCTTTACCTTATAGTGATGAGTGCCGTATCAACACCTAGACCGTTACTATACTTTGCCTTCTGTGTACACCAGGGATTTATTATCCCTTACGGTGATGATGAGGATAGCGGGGTTTGTGCTCCTCAGGCTTTGCAGGCTTCTGGCTTATTGTACCTTCATAGTTCCGTAGTTCAGTGCAATCGATTCATCTTTTCAGAAGTACTAGGTCATTGAATGCTATTGCCACAATTTCATTCCCTAGGTTTTACCTGAATACGGAAATACAACTTTCTTCTTTAAAAATATCTTACTATTAAGTTTCATTTAACTTTTTTTATAAATAGCACTTTTTTTAAATAGTTTTTTCTAGAACACTGAATTGTTAGAATTATATTTACTTTGAGATACCTCACTTTTTAATTGTTTCCCAATGATATTGTTCATTTTCAAGGTGGATAATTTTATTCATTTAACAATTAAAAATTATCTAATTTTCTGTTCGTCTTATTTCGTTTCCTTTTTTCCTCTCGCAGGTAATACATATAATTTCTACTTTGTGGGCTTCTAAATGCGAATTCTGTTTGCCCGTGGGGGACCCTTTGTGAGTTGGAATCCTTGCTTTGGTTCTTTGAAGTGTCATTTTATTATTTTCAAAGTTTATCGCATTTCAATCTTGTAACTTGAAAATCCAGTAAATAATTGTAACCTCTGAAGATGATATTGTAAATTCTCCTTTTCTTATAATTACATAATTATGTATATTCTTGGGATAGTAATGCACTCCGAACTCTGGCTGACGGTCTTAATACCATGCCATAATAATACTATTTCTTATTTTTAACTCTAAATTTCTTTCATTTTGTAAATAAAGTATATCTATCTATCTATCTAATTAAAAATTATCTGGATGGGTTTATATGAGCTTTTTACCTTGTTGTCGTCCGCTTCGCTCTTCCTCCTCCAGCATCCTCAGTACAGCCGAATTCGCCAGGTTTCCTGGTTTGGCCAAGTTGTGAAAGTCGATTCTGGAATTAGAAAAAAAAAGATCAATCTAATGACAAATTAAAAATAAACGTTTAAAATTTATGATGATAATAATAGCTGACATGGTAGTCAAATCTGATGACTGGACATTTACACAAGTCGCCCAGAATCTGGGTCAGGGGCAACGGACAAACTTAAACGCTATTTCACTGCTTCTTAACGCTTTCCGTTTGTTCAAGTATTATTTGGTATTTTTAATCAATTGTACCATGTTAATCATTAATTTATGACAACATTTAAAAAGTTCTCACTCTCTCTCTCTCTCTCTCTCTCTCTCTCTCTCTCTCTCTCTCTCTCTCTCCCTCTCTCTCTCTTTCAAAAGTTTTTCTTAAGAAATTGTTTCACTTTTTAAATTCACACTTATGGTGGTAGTTTGGGAAAGAAATAAAAGCATAAAAGAAATACTCAATAATTATAGACAGTGTGTCAACGCAGCAGAAACATTGTCAATATATAGTCAGATATATTTCTTCCTTGAGAAATCCTCACTTTTATGTCAGCCTCTTCTGCTAAAGGAAAGCGTTAAAGTAAAAAGAATAGAGATTGATGCGGTAAAAGACAAAAGACAGAGCGTGTTCTGATTTACCTTTCCAATATATAAACAAACATGTCTCTAAACTCTAATTGTAGAGCAAAGAGGTGGCCTGATAGGATGACATTAAACGTTGCATTTGTTTTTTTAATTTGTAAAAGATTAAAATTATTTAACAAAAAGACTCCTTAAAAGGGCATCGATATCCAAAAAAAAAGCCCATTTATTAAAATTAAAGACGTCACTTTGTAATCCGACAATGTTTACATTGGCCTAGTAATGTCAAGGTGAGTAATTAGCTCTCGATAGACAAATGCAGCAGTCGTGACTCAACCGAGTTCACCTTCTTCCATACCAAACTTGGCACCCTGGCCCGGCAGGCTCGTTAAATAAATCCCCCGTCCCAGATTCGATCTCGTAAAATTAATTGCATCTCGTTTGCACGCTGCAACATCATGCAGGGAAATTTTTCTGAATTTTACGATTAAGACATCTCAAGAACTTACTTAAGGAGGTTATCTTTCATCACAAATTGGGCTAAAAAGTCTCTATTGGCTTAAGTTTTAATTTCTAATTGTATTCGCGATATTCCATTTTTCAGGTTACTTACACAATTTTTTTTTTACACAAAATCTTCTAAAATATATATGCAGGGTAACCATAACAATCTCATTTTATATTGTAAATATTCCCTTTTGAGCTGGGTTTTGTTTGTTGTATCAAAAACAAATAAAATGCAGGATTTTACAGTCTAATTTGAGACGTAGAACAATATCCTAGATTTATTTTTTATTTATTTCTTTAATCGAATAAATGACCAAACTGATAGAAAATATATTTTGCAATTAAAATTACAAAATGGAGGGGTTATTCCCAATGATCAGGACGAATATCGAGTGCTCTAGAGTAGTAGGAAAAAATTGTGGTGTGTGAAAGCAATTTATTAGCGTGCAAATTCTCTAATTTAGTTAGTACCACACTCTGGAGTAGTGTGTGTGATTTATTAGCATGATATTAGCGTACAAAATGGAGGGTCTTATCCCCAATAACCCTAGGAATCTCCAGTACACTGGGGCAATATGAATAAGGTCGAAAGGTGAATGTATTTATTAGCGTGAATGAATGAAATTGTTTTCTAACCATTCCGTAAAATACTCGGTACTCTGTGAATAAAGTCTAAGAATGAATGTACTTATTAGCGTGAAAGAAAGACTTCGTTTCCTCCCACCTCAAAAGTATATCAAGTACATTGGAATGCAGGGAATGACCTATAGTGGGTGAATGTAATATGATTAACGTGAATGAATGAAATTGTTTTCTAACCATCCCTAGAATGCTCAGTTCTCTGTAGTATCAATAGAGTCTAAGGGTGAATGTATTTATTTTTGAAGAGAGGGAGAAGAAGTGAGTATGTAAGTTCACTTTGCGTAAATATTGGCTCTGTTCATAGATTTTTTGTTTGTAGTTGTAAACGGCAAATCTATGAGTAAAACCATCAATTACCAAAAGTAGAGGAACTTTGAGAGGAACGTGTAAGAATATAATTAATTAGCCTAGATGGAAGGACCTACCTCCAATTACACCGAAAAATATGAAGTACTCTGATGATATTGCGAACGAAGTCTTACTGCATAAATGTGATTTATGAGCGTGAATGGAGGAGCTTATCCTTAATTACTTCGATGAATACTGCGTACCCTGGGGTAGGGTGATGAAACTTCTTAGCGTGCATGAAAGAGGTTATGACCAATTACCACGAGGAACATTTTCGCAAGAGAGTTTTATAGAAGTACTATGTCCTGAGAGTTATAAATCTCAAAATAAATTTTAAGATAATTTTCAAAAAGAAAAAAAGAAACAAAAGAAATTAAAGAATCTATGTTACAAGAAGCGGTTAGATAGTTGTGCCAGAACAATCAACAATTAGAAAAAGAGAAGAACGAATTGAAATATGTTTAAGCGAAAACCTGTATATAAATTGTAAGTAAACAAAATAATAGTTCTAGTCAAACAGGAAGGGTTAACGTCCATTAATAGCTAAGTGTCGAGGACGAGAAATCAAAAAACTATTTTGCAATTTTTTATTTGTTTCTCGATTAAAAAGTCATGTGTTATGCCAAGAGTTGAACTCAGAACCACTAGCGTGGCAACACAAATCGGACGCCTTAACCGCTCGGGCACCCTTTTAATAATTCAGATAGATTTTAAAAAAACAGTAAAACCATTAATTAAACAAGGCTAAACCATTATATGTATATAAAAAAATTAAAAGGAAATAAATATTTACGATAATATAGATTACAAAAGTGGTTTCCAATATTAAAATTGTGAAATTTCAAAACAAAAGATTAAAAATGTATAAAGGATCATTTGTCATTTTTCCAGTCTTCCAGTGTCACAGCCGGCAATCATCGAACTTTATAAGATGGATCGCTGTCCGTAGATAGGTCAATAATTTCTCCTCTATAAAAACATGGATAGCTCGATTTATCCCGTTTTATTTCAGCATTGTGCAGTGACAGACGGGTGACAAATCGTTTCACACTGGATAGAAGCTCTGGCTTAATTTAGGTGAACCACTCGTGTGGTATGTCTCTTAGTAAAATCTTGTTTTACAGTACAAATTCCGCTCAAAAAAATTAACTACCTCAACTTACATTTAAATAAAACTAAGACCAGCTTCTGAAGTTAAATTGCGTTAATAATCAGGACACCAACACTTGAAATATCGTAAATATTAGTCATGAAACAACTTCAATGGTATACAGGCTTACATGTAGGAAATAGTACAGAAATGGGCATAAGGTCAAATTACTAGTCATAGAAACACACAAATTTCAAGAAGTAAGACAACCAGACAGCCAGAAAACTCTGCAACTCTTCAAGCCTGCGAGTTCAATTTAAAACTAGTCTCCTAAATATAAAAACAAACTGGGATCCACAAATAATCCCAATTCAAGATATTTCAGATAACGAGACCCCTCTAACTAAAAAGGAAGCCATAATAATAATGGAATCTTGGACTTACTAAAGAAAAAATATTAGGAAGTTATAGAAGACATGAGGCAAGGAAAAAAATTCAAAAACAATACAATGGGAATAATACAATAGATAATCCTACTCAAAAGAAAATAATTAAAAACCCTAAAAGATGGTACAGGACGTGCTCTAATAAAATACTCCATAAAAAATTGGACTGAATAAATAATCAATGTCGACTCTCTGGAGGATACAAAGACAGCGTATTTTATTCAACTACCCTGCAATAACTAGAAAAGCCATTCTTCAACAATGGCAACCTCCAACTCATACCCCAGAGAAGAAATATTTTATTAAAGATACAACAATTCAGGAAACCCGTTAGCAGAGGCGAATCACAATGACTCCAAAAGTAAGAGAAAATAATAACATTTCGTTTATGATAAATCACTCATTTTTCACCCGATAGACAAAAGTTTAAGTGTAAAATATAAATAGGAAAATCCCTACGATTCCAAAATAAATATAATCAAGGAAACACTCAAGGAAATATCATCAACTTTTGGAATGTGATGATCAACATATGAAAACATACAACTAAATCTAAAAGATATCATATTCCCATTAAATATGATATATAATTTTTGAAAGTTACAATAAATTTTGTAAAAATCCATGTATGGTCATTTTTTAAGTTTTTTCAAAATTTCACAACTAAATGTTGTATTTTTCAAGAATAGATAAGCTATCAAGCTCCAAAATGGAGAGAGAGATATAATATAAATATGCAATCACAGAAATTTCGTTAGACCTTTGGGTATGACAAATCATTAAAATAAAAATATTAAACGATACCTCAATGATATCATCTACCCAATTAAATATAGTACATAATTATTGTACACTTAAGCAAAGTTACAAAATTTTTGTAAAAGCCCATGCATAGTCACATCTTATATTACATCCCCTCTCTCACACACATCTCAAGCTTTACTTTCAAAAAAGTTTTTTTTCAAAACTTTATTAAAATTTAAACATTTTAAATGTACTTGAGAAAAAAGTAATTTGATTATGTATTTTAAGAAAAATAGACGTGTACTGTGTGTTATGTGTAACCGAGATAATAGAGGACCACGTTGAGGTTTTAAATAATTTTTTTAAATTTTTATATTGTATTGTTTTATTGTTTTTAATTAACTCCATACTGTCCATTGTTTATATACTGAGCTTCACCTAATTTTAATTAATCTTATTATAAATGCAGTTTCTTGCTCTCTAAATATATTTCAACACTCATCGAGTTAAAGTAAGATAAATAATTGTTTTTTGTAATTTTGTTTTTTTAAATAATATAACATTTATATAACTAACTGCGATATTTTCCTAAAATAAATAGGCCCTGATGATAAGATCATCTCATCTTTAAAAATTTTATTATTTCAAGGATTTTCTTAATAGTTGTCAAAATTT